TGCATCGGCTTTCCACAATAACATTCCTCAAACATGTGTAGTTGTTAATTACATCTGTTTTAAATATAATGTTGATAACTTACCTACACTGTCTTGTAACTTACATGACGTATACAATTACCTCCACTATTTGATTACCTTCATGTCTCATTTTTATGACAATGGAAATAATTTTGAAAGTTGAAATGTTTTAAACACATGTTTTAGGGAATTCTATTTCATTTCAATAAAAGCTGATGCACTTTGTATATATGTATCAAACATGAAAATAGTTGTCAAATTTAACAGGTATCCAATTTAAAACACACACAACATATATCATGCACAGTATTGTACACACATGTATGTGTATTTAAACAATTGACAGACTTTGGTGGTTTGACTAAGTGCATGAGCTGATGGAATTTTACATTTCGCTGCACATTATGACATGTGAAAGTTATCGGCAATGTTGCAATGACCAAGTTATTACACTATTGTAATCTGACATGAATTAAAACAAATTTTTAATTTTCAAGTGTAGGGAAAAATTCATGAGCTCACTCAATCAAACAAGTGATGGCTTTCCCGGTTTCATATATATATATATGTCAGTGAATGCTAAAACCATTGAAGGTCAGCACACAAAGATGGTCCGACAAAGAAACCCTTTACAACGGTTATGGAAAAGTGGTGATCTGACTTTTCCCACCATGCTGAATGACTATTCATTCACCACTAGTTTTGAAAGCTTAAGTTGCCTTTTAAATACCAAGAAAAATGCCTTATAATAAATGTGTAAATCAGTGATAATGAATACATGATTTATTCAGGAAGTTGATAGATTTCCCACTGTGGACCACCATCCATCATACACAGGAAGTGACAAATTAGGGTTTAAATGACAGCCCTCACGTCCATCAATATCAATTAGTGGATGACCACTTCAGGCTGCTTTAGGTATTACACGTGTGATGTGTGTGTCCCATTTTACCTGCTCATACATGGACTGGACTGCTACATATATTTAAATATACTGGAACGGGTTTGATCTATATTTCGTCTATTGATAACCAACTTTTGCGGTAGTGAAGCAGACGTAAAACCACTAAAACAATCAAACAAACAAAATTTATACATTTGTTAGATACTTGTGACTTTGTGCTTCTAATAGAGCCAATGAATTTATATAAAAATTGGAACTCATTATCAACTTTTAGAAGTAATCTGCAGAAAATGGATACCATGCATTTTCACTAGAAGCGCTACCACTATACACTGAAACTGTCCTTGATCATGAATATTACAATAATTGGATTTTACATGGTAAAACTGCAGGATAATAACTGTTTCCATGACCAAATATATTTCATAATATCATAGTGTAAGGTCAGTACATAAATTCCAAGTGAGTTCAAGAATGTTTTTTTCCAAAAAGGACTTTACTGGGAACAATCATTAGCTAATCAAAAAATGAGATCAAAAGATTTCATCACAAAAGTAAGTTTGATTTTTTATTGATTATAGAAGCTGCTATTAAAAGAAAATGTGTTTCCTTGTAGAAATCACAGAAAAAAAAATTGCCATTTACATGTGTTATTCCCCAAAAAGATTTCATTTTCAACAAAAGTCACACAAAAATCTAAACACATTAATGGTCTAATATGATGAAGAAAACATCTATCTATAATAAGCATATTTAGGTTAAATGGACACAGACTCGCCAGTGGAATACCTTAATGCATCAGACAAGTTCCAGACCAACATCCAAACTGACATTGCTAACAATTAAATGATCTTTAACACTTCAATGGTAAACAACACCCTTCACAAATTCTGTATTAACTATGCTATTTTTAGAAGCTAACTTATCAAACTTCAGACTTCTCCAACATTATTCACCAACATTCCTGTCATAACCACACATACAATGGATGATAATACCTGGTATTATACCTCATTTGTCAGACTGTTAGCCCCAGAGAGCAGTGCAGGGTGTGCTGACAGGGGATGACCTGTGAGATATAGGTGACCCTTAGCTCTGGTGAAAGTAAGCATGTCAAGACACCCTCTAATAGACATTTAACTTGCTCTGTCAACAATACCAGGACTTTGTACATATACACCCTATACCAATGTCTAATCTGCATTTCAGTAAGAAAAGTGATATTAGTGTAAGTGTCGTTGACTTCAACCATGCATGTTGGTCATTTGACATTGCCTAAGTAAAACTTCATTAAAGTTTAAGAGCGATAACCAGGGTCCATAGGTGTTTCTTGATCTGTTTAGATGCTCTAATCTTTTCACAAATATCATAACGGATGACATACCTTGTGATGCATGAGATGTAAACTTGCGTGTGGGTTAATTTTGCCTTGTGGCCAGTGACATGATAATTTAAGTGTGCATTACTGTTAATGTAAGTTGGTAATTCTCAGGGTAAAACTTTCGAGCACCAGTATATTACACCTATGATATACAGGTGTGTGTGTGTTAAGATACACAGGTGTGTACTGCAGTGTGTGGTATCGCCTTCAGGAACAGGTGCACAGTATAACGGATAGTCATTTGTTTACAGGTGTCAAGACGACCCAACCCCTCCTGGGTAAGTTTTACCTGTGATTCATACTGACAAAATATTTGTTAATGCAAGGCCTCCGTAAGCAGGTGTGGGTCATGCTAGGTTTAATCAGTGTATGTACCTAGGCCATTATCTGTGAGTTACAAATACTTTTTTCCAAGGATAAAGAAATCGCTATCATTCAATACATATAGTGTTTTGTGTCATTTCACATGTGCTCCACCTTCAAACATGGTTTATTACAAACAAAACCAATCTTCCGAGTAACCATCCAAAGAGCTTTCCACACCTCAACAGAAACCCTATTCACCTTGTTCAGGACTTCACCGGAAATGTATGAATGAACCATTTAGGCAAAAAGTTTATCTGCTCCTAGCATGTCAAACACAGGTTAAAAACAGATGAATTGAGTACGGTACAGCAATACTACCAGTCTACAACAGTAATTCAGTTATTCACACAGAAGTGTGAGATCTTTTTTTTGTAACAGCTAAGACATTACATCACTTGTAGCACTATGTGTTGATGACTTTTCAATGAAGCCTTGTTGTAGACCTTATGATTGGTAATGGAGGTAAATTCTGTAGTTGCCTGCAGCTGTACCTTGTGACCTAACCACATTTAACCCAGCCCTCCCCGTGGACACAGGAATGCACACTATCATAACCTTGTAACCAGATGTTCTCTATCCCTAACTCAACCATGAAGATGCATAACCACTCCAACTCCAGCTCCTCACTGTAATCTGTCTGAATAATCTTTCACCAAAGAACATTCTTGGTTACGTTATAACTTAGGTTTTTGACCTGAAATCTGAAGCCAGACATGACAAGACAGTCTACATGTGAAGTTATACCACAAGGACTCGGGCTCCATTACTGCTGTTCTTTTTATCATTTGATACCTTCATATTTTACATTTGCATTTTTTGCAAAGAAACAAGAAACCAAAATGATAACTGGCTGTAATATATAGTCACTGTCAAATTGTGTTATACATGTACAAAACAGGAGCATGGGTCTTACCCTTTCATGTACTGCACATGTATTTATTACTCTGTGTATAGGCACAGATCAACAGTGCTCCCTCACAGCCACAAGTCAATACAATATATTCCATAATTCAAGGCATCACATGTCGAGAAATGTTGCTGGTTTATTTTCAAATCTTGTAAAAATAGCAATTTGCAAAAAATACCTGTTAACTGTAAACAGGCTTATATTAATAAGAAAATATTTTTGACAGGAAAAGACACTAGCAATGAATAACATGGCAAAGTAATAACTAAAAGTATTCCCAAATGGAAAATGGAAACTATGATAGCGTAGTATAAGTAGTGAACCTGTACAGACAACTTTACACTAATATGAAGGTATATCATTTTGGGGTATAAGATATATGTATAAACAGATCATCAGCTTGGACAATGGAAACACTGGTGTATTCTACTTGACAACTCTCGATACATTTTTCAGGAACCCCAACTTCATTTGAAAATAATAACAGCCTTTCAGATCATTTCCTGCCCATGGTAACTGATTTGGTGAGGAATAACTGCAAACAATACCATTACAAATGTTTATTCCTGTTGTAATGCCCTTAAGTCCAGAAAAAAATATAGGTCAAATCACTAAAAAACGACTAATCACTAACCCCTGGAATGATAACCAGGATACAATGAGCAGGATGTTCATGATAAACATTAACAGTGTCCTATTTTTCATTATGTATGAATCCTTGGAGAGGTGCCCACATTGCATAATAAATTGAGTTGTCAATATTACCTTATCTTTTTTTCATATCTTACTTGAGATTTGTATGTAACTGCATGAATACAGGTGTGTATGACTGTAACGGGGGACGCATATAATGTAGGTTAAGTAAACAAAAGATAGACATCATATATTTGCGGATAAACTGATCTTTCACTGAACTGTACAAGTAAATCTTTGTAAACCATATATATTTCTTTGTAGGAGCTGCTTTATATATATTAGTTCAATAAAACATGTTTAATAGTATATTGCAGTTTTTGATGGTCTAGTAGGTGTCTTGTCACTCACATCGAACTGACCTGCCGTTTTATTTTAATATCAATTTATCCTGATTTATTCACCCATGAATAATAAGCTAAAAAAAATACATGTATTATTGGCTTTTACTGCACTGTCCTATTGTTGAAAAATGGTTTTTGCCCTTTTCATACTTGACAAGTACAAATCTCTGATGTTGGAGAAATTATAACTATGCATATACTGGTAACTTTCAGACATAAACAGATGATTGAAGACTGAGAAAAATGCAATAGGCTAAAGAAATAGACACAGAAGAATCAAAGCTTAGGGAGAAGAAACAGAAACGGGTGAAATAAGTAGCAGACGTCAACACAACACTGGCACTGTGTTGAGTAGTTTTGGGTGTAAGTTGTTTATATAATTACCAAGAGCCTCCACGAGCTGGACCATGACCCCGCCCACGTGCAGGTCCCCTGTCACCCGGAGGGTTCGCTCCACCTGTAAATCCGTAACTGTGATGGTCAAATTCCATGACCCGTCCGCGCTGGCCATCTTCACGTTCTATTTCTTGCAATACACAAGCCAATACACACTGCCTGTTCGTTATTAAGAATCCACACAGATAAATCCTCTAAACAGGTAAATCCCGTCTTGAAAACATAACCAAAGCTTAATCCAAACCCAATTCACGGGAGGTTAGGAATTGACATTCTCTGGAAAATAAATAATTAGAAAATAAACAATACAGAATAATATTCCAAAGTTTATCAACAACAACTATAGTGCTAGTGCTGACGGTTTATAAATTGATTTCCGAATGCTGACCTACAGAGATTTAACTAGATACCATGAGAAAACAAGAGCTGAGTAGATGGAGCGGTCCAAGACGTGTGTTAAACGCGTGAATGAATGATCAAGCTTACGTTTACAACGATTCTAGGTCACTTGCTAAAAATGTAATGGCCGATCCCGAAGTCGGAAAGTCCGACGAAAACAACTGTTTCTTTTTCCACCTACCTCATTCCAATGGCGTCCTTATACAATTAGAATGTCCCCGGCAACCTCTCCTGACCTCGTGATAAACAAAAGAAAACTTGACACAGATCACAAAACCCAAACACACACCACCAAAAATACCATTCGTGTACCTCAAATGACTCAAACTGCTTGCCCTATATGGAAGTGAATTATCTACGTTCAGAGAACTTCCCATCTGCCGTTAAACGGAATTTGATTGGTTGCGGGATTTCCCTCGCTGAGCTACTATGTCGCACAATGCATCGTTTGAGCGACACCGAAATTGTGAATATCACGGCTATCATTGTTAACAAGCTTTATTAATATATAGCTTTAAATGTTTACTCCATTTGCATCCATACGAGTCTGATAATAACGGGGAACCCCAAATTCTCAGTATCAAAATCCAACCAATCGTCGCCCGTTTTACAACGAAACACTTCTCTACCAAGTACCTGCTAATGACGTCACATTGTAGGGGAATTACCAATCCCAAACGGGTTTCAAGTTTCTTCGCTTTCGTCGAGTTACTCATGTGTTTGTAATGTGTTTGAAGTCCAATTAAGCACGTACGTTAACTCGTATCTTAAATGATATAAATTAGAAATACGAAGAATGAAATTAATGAAGAATATTGATGAACAAATAAAGCACAATTAGATTGTAATAAAGAAACATATTCCTAATGAAAATCAATAAAGTCTTCGATTTCTTCATTTTTATATATTTTATAATTTCTTTTATTCTATTATATAAATTAAACTTCATGTTGAACATTAAACGTTTTACTATCCATATATCATTATGTTTATTGTATGCCCTTCTTAGTAGACTTCATGACCTCTAGATATGTTTACTTTAAACAATTTTGATCCCAACAAACTTCACAGCTGGTCAAAGTCACTTCTCTGAGGAAACTTTATAGCTCTCCACCAAACTTGGGTAGTTTATTGAAAATATCATGACTTTTGGTCTTTTTTTTCTTGATGAAGATTTTGCAATTAAATTCAGGAAACAAAATAATTAGAGGCAGACAATTGGACACCAAACCATAGTTAGCTCGCAAGAACTTTGTCCAGGGTGACCAGAACATTTTTAAGAGAGCAACATGGAGGTAATGATATAAACCTAATTATCCAGTATTTTTTTCACCTCACCCAAAAATATCAAATTTCTTAATAACCGCATTTGGGAAAGGCCTTGGCAGCTAGGAAGGAACAATTGTTTGACATTCAGTCAACTCAACTAATGGAATTGAGAATTGTTTAAAAATGTCTCAACAATTCAGAAGATGTGTGTCTATTTTGATTTGGCATCGACCAAGAAACTAACAACACTTATTCATGCAGGACCAATCCATAAGAATTTGAAAATGTTCACCCAATCAGGTTATATGTACAGCTGGCAATCCTTGATTGTGAATTTGTTCAAATATATAACAACGCTCAGTCAAGACCATGAGAGGGACATTTGCATCAGCTTAAAGGATATGATATTGTGAAGAGGAAAGTTGAGCTAATCAGAAAATATGTACAGGTGTCCATCTTTGATCATGAATTGGTTAAAAACAATATAAACATTTGGTCAGGTACACAAGAGGCACATTTGTATCTGCTACAAATTGTGAAAATGCCTCAGTAAACCAATGCAAATGCCAAAAAGCAATAATTTTGAAATTTCCAAAGAGCTCAAACAATGATTGGTCATGAGGTGATCATTTGCACCATTTTTTGTTGGTGTGCCGTTATATTTTTTAATTCTGTTAGGTAATGTCACCTTCTCATGTTAGTGATATCTATCTGAATGTATTATATCACCAAATGGGATTAAATAATATAGCAGCATCTGTATACATAAATCTCAGATTTCTATTCTCACCGATCTCAATGTTATTACTTTCAACCCTTATAAGAATTCTTTCATTATGTGATTAATTTTCTTTATAAGTACACAGATGTATATCAGCTGACTCAGAATACCTATTAAAAGATCAATTTCAATATCCCCTATAGTACAAATAGTAGACATGATCAAGACGAGGTCATTATAGGGGGAAGGGGCCAATCAATTAAAGCACCTTAACCTTTTCAACACTGTAGACCATAATGAACTCATCAAGGTCAATCCATGGTAGAGTCTCACTAAAGTTACATGGGGGTGAAAGGGGTAAGGGGCCAATCAATTCAAGCACCTTAAGGGTCCAGAGCACATTTTAAGTAGTCAATAAAAATGACCTCGACTTCAGAACCAAACAAATATTCGGGATCTTGCCTCCATATTTTAATTTCAATTCATGATCATAGATTTACTAGATGGAGTCTGCCCAATTATCATACCATCTTATTTCTACAGGTTTGGCATGCACTGTTGTTCCTTTTAGCAATACTGGTCTTACTGAAACGACCTGCTGACAATTAAACAAGCGTAACAGTGCTATATTTTAGTTTTTTTACATTTATTTTACAAAGGTTGAACCTGATTTTTAGACGTCAGACCACAATCAACTCAAATAAGTAATTATCCACAGTAAACACTTGTGTAATTTGTGCACCTCAATTGACCTGTGTTATTGTTTTTTAAGACCCAATTTTGAGTTGAAAAAAACTCATATTTGTGCATCATATTCTCCTTATTTGTGTTGCAATTGTTTGTGAAACCGGTTTTAATATCATTTTTTTCCTTCAAATGTGAAAAAAAGTCCACTCAATCAAACTAAGACATTCTATGCTATCCATGTATGCATTCCTGACCACATTTCCTTCCTTGATACCCTAAATCGACAATCTTTACCAATTATGTAATTAGTTATAAATAGCCACGATTCACGATTCACAGAACTGATAACACTGACATGACCTAGATACCAATCAAGCTAGTCAAGAGTGAGATATACCTTCAAAAATATAAGAAGGCTTCCAAACTTCAACATTAACTTTGATTCCTATTTTAAACATTAATTGTGCAAGCTACGTTTTTTCCACATTTTTACTTATTCTAAGTGAAATTTTCAAGGTACATATAAACATATAGAAAGCCATAACTTGGACATTTTTCAATTCAGGCTTACTGTATACCAGAATGTTTTCGCCTCCGTTTAAATTTCCCTTTCCGCCCTCTGCAATGAGGGAAAATTTATCATGGCAGCAATTATAATTACAAAGCATACCATATTCAGTAATAACATGTGGAGGGTTAAATGAACACCTGACAAACATGGGGTTTATCATCGAGTGGTGTTGTTTGACTGGGTGAAGGATTCCCAGTATACAGTATTTTGGAGAAATAAGGATGTATCAGCACATTACCTGGTACAGCTGAAATAAGTTTCGGCACCCTATCAAAAATTAGAAAGTTACTTCGGTCTTGTATATTTTCTCACATTTGCATCTTTATGTCCTACTGTTTGAACCATGGATCACACAAAATATCAGTCCTGATGGCAATTCATTTTTACAGAAATCACATCCATTAAAGACAAACAAAAAACAAACAAATATAAATCAAAACAATCATAAACCAAACTCGTTCATAATATTTTATTTTCATTTCTTGACACAACATGGGTGGTATTTATCATCATCTGTCAGAAGTATCACATACAATAATAAGTTATTTTTATATCTAATAATAAAATCATTTACATTAACAAAATAACTAACACTTACAACACATATTGAAGTTAAAAGAACATGCATCATATTTTCTGGACGGAATAAAATCATCAGTTCACCTGTCAGTACGTTATAAATCAAAGGCATATAGTACACTGACAATTTAATGGTGATACTAGCCAATTAATGTTATACAAACTCCAACACACTGTGACAGATCTCTTCATTATCGCCTACACACATTTGTCAGAAAAATGAAATTGATATTTTATAGAAGTTTAAGTGGGTAGCTAAGTATTTGTTACAAATGAAATATGATCTGACAATAAATGGCCTATGTTATGTGTGATGTGTATACCAGCTGTCCCTTACATGCTAACAAGTGGAGACATGGATACTGTTCTACCCCAGATGTGGACAAGGAATCAGCACGCCCATCCACCTGGCTTACTAACAAGCATGCAATAGTGAAATAAATTAAGAATTTTGTTCACTGCATACAAAAAAATCATCTATCTTAATAAAGTTTGATGAAAGTTTCATAAATTTTGAAATATGATACATTTCATATAAATTATTTTACACCTTACATTTTTTCTGTAATAACTTTGGACAGGTAAACCTACACATCTGTTCCTATTCAGTGGTATCAAAACTTTTACCAGGTAATACATGCATGCAGCTTATACACATAGTTGTAGCTTACTTGATAGGTTTACCACATGAAAAGCTAGGTGAGCAAATAGAATCATTAGTATGGATGTCCTACCACCTATAGTAAAGACCTATACAGAAAAAATAACTAATCCAAATATTTGGCTCAAGGTCATAAATAATGCGGCAAGATTTTCCGTTCCGATGACTTCAATGAAAAGGGAGAGTCAAACAGAATGAAACATTTTGACATTCTACTAATTCTTTTCGAAATACATTTTTGGAACATTTTTTTCAAAACCAGATTTCATTATTTTCTGCTGGTCAAAATGACACATTATCAGGTGACGGTGGGTGGGAAGTAGGAATCAATGAACAGGAGGTGAGGACAGTCACCAACTATGTGTGCTCATCCCAGTGTGAAGGTAGCACACAGCCCATTTAACCACATAAGTTACTTAAATACCTCCAGTCTTACATATTTACTCGTATACTTATCAGAGCAGAACAATTGTCTCCACAGGTATTTTGATATTTATCTCACCTATTCACAAACAACAATGCCTCTCTCCTAACCATGCAATACAGATTCGGATAATTTTCAGGTTGGACTTCATTCAACAAATATGTTATGCTGCCTATTGTCCTGATCTCCTTGTAAACACATGCAGTGAATACATCAGTTCTACTACAAATGATTGGAGGACAAAAGGGATCAAAGTATATGTGTACTTGATAAGTTTTGTCACAAAGTATACACTTATTTCAATATCATTTGCATGTTATAATACTTAACTAATAAAAATCAATTACATGTACCTGCATGTAAATAAATGTGGATACTAGATTTTTTCCACTTCACTGACCAAAGAGATGATTTATGCACAAAGTGCATTCATGTGTAACTCATGATACCAAAATAAGATACAGAGCTTCTTTTTTAATTGAAAAAAAAATGTGTTTACCTGAACCTGATGTACAAAATAGTGTACAGGTAAACAAAGACTTGCTGATGTTTGTTTGTTCAGTAAGGAATGTTGATCTAGGCCTAACAGTCTATCTTAACCATCAGACAATAAGTGTCAGCTCCTGTGTTTTAGATCTGATATATTTCATTGGGAATTGCATCATTACAAGTGTGAAGATATTCCTTTATGCAATGTGACAAAAACTGTTTATAAGGGACCACCACAATTGTTAACATGTACCACAACTATCACAGACCTTCAGCATAGTCAATCATAGAGTTATTATCGAGCATGTCCTCAAACAATTACTGTATATGTATAGTTCATGTTTTTAAAGAAGAAAAAAGATGTGTGAATATTAAAGTCTGTACATGTTTTACAAAAGTGAGAAATGATGTTTGAGCTGTTTCAGGAGTTCCTTTGAGTCGACATGGTCAGGGAATGCATCAACCGCTCGCTTGGCTGCATTGTAGCTGCTCTGTAAATCTCCCATCTGAAATACACAAAACATAGTAAAAGTCAATATATTCCCAACTCACAGGTTTCACAACTGTCAGATAGATGCAGCAACATTTGGAAATATATGAAAAGTACTGAAATATTTAACCAGTATTTCTATCATAAGCATATTCACTGACACTTTTTTCAGCCTGTGAGAATCCTGTAAGTAAAAAACGTAGTTTAGTGTCGGTACTGAAAACTTCATACATGGAAAAACTAGTACTGGTAAGCATTTCATAATGACATACTTTGTGTGGGTTTTTTTAATCGTAACACTAAAAAATAAAGCACTTTACGATATCGAGATTTTAACAGAAACAGGACAAGCATCTTTGATTGGCTGACTCATAAGCTGTGGATGAAGGTTTGAAGGAGTTGGGAATCAGGATTATTACCCACTCTAGCAGACCTAGTGTACTGAAGTGTTTTATCCCATATCAATCTGTCACTGTTATAACTTGGTATGGCCAGTCTGTCATCTACCCTTACAGGCCATGAATCAACTCTATTATTATTGATATGGTCTCTGGTCATTGGTACAGCTGGCCATCCCTACAATGTCCAGTCATTGTCTGACCTCCGAGTCCTCCCAATCCTAATTGGCAGGACGTTGTTGTGACAACGAATGCTGGTGATTAAATCCAGGGAAGTGTGTTTATCAATTGTCTATTAATGAAGTTACACCGAGCAAGTGACCAACATCACGCACTAATACACAGCGGTGACATAAGGGATCACCTCCTAGTCATCTCCTGGACAGGTGGTCTCTCATAATCAACATATCTAAATTAGGCTAATAATTCAGGCCGTCTGGGAGACAGCAACTCCACTTGTGTCACGAGATGAATAATTTGAATTGTGGATGATTTGGAATGCATATGTGTTATACATGTATTATGAATTGAATTCAGTTATGAGAGAATTACATTTCTTCCTGTGTTTATTTCATCTGGCTTTGAGTTCATGTTGTGTAAAAACATGAATTTCATCCAAGGATGTCACACACAACACCAATACAATCAAAAAGACTGATTAGTTCACCAGTTCCAATCAGTGTGACAAAAAATCCCAAGGCTGTGACAAAATAATGACAAAATCTTTCTAAAGGAAAAACTTCATTTTCAGATCAAAATTTGCAAACATAATGTTTCGTTATAGACATAGAAAAATCTGTTTTTAAGTACCAGTATGTCTGTTGTATGAACAATTATCATTCAATTACAAAACACTATTATATAAGGGTCCCAGACTGCTCGGGATGGACATTTATATATATAGATAGTAGGGCAAACTTGAATTTGATTTAAGAATTATATGCATCATTATCATGTCTTCACACTGTAGTTCTAAATTAAGTTATCATTCAAAAAGCAGCTTGTAATTTCAAACATGTAACAGCAATGTTGACCTTGAAGGAAGGTCATGCCAAATGCTCTACATTGCCATTCAGGTTGGCAGGGATGGAATTTGAAGCAGCTTTATACAATGATGAAGGTGGTGTCACTACCAGCTTAATGCCAAAGTAAACAGGTGTCTACCTGTAAAAAGGATGGTTTCTGTGGTCAGTATCGCATGGCATGGACACCTAGAGTGACCACTGTCCAGTCATGATATAAGTAAGGCTATTATGTCCTGTCACCATACTAACAAGTTACAAACCAGTCATATTAGCCCTATTATAGTCAAGCCCATCACTCCTCTATAGACCCTCTGAAAAAGTGGTCATCTAAATGACAGTGGTCAGTATCACTACAGTCCAATGATCATATAATGTCAGTGTGGACAATCATCCCACCACAACAGCTCCACAATCCCTATACAAATTCTCAAGTAAATGACCAGGGTCACTTTTCTATTATAAATGACTGGTCATCTAATTACACTGCTTGTTGTGACCTTAAGCCAGTCCTGGACCAGATAACATCTGTGACCTCCTGAATGTCCAGCAGTAAAGTGATTATGTTGTAACCTGGCCATAGAGCACCTGCTCAAGTGGAACACCACAACAATGTACTCACCCTGCTGGACATGTTGTATACATATATATATACACCCAGTGGTCAAATTCAATAGCATCCCACCAGAAAATGAGAATTATTTATCTTGGACTTTCTTCAACCTTTTTCGTCTCAATATACCATGCTATACTATCTACATTGGCATGGTGTTTTCTTTATATGAAGCAACCAAATAGCAATGGCAGCCTTGGTGCTCTGAATGCCATTGACTGATCATTGAGACCATCATCATTATGATGTCATAGTTTAAGGTAATGTTTGATATCAATGAAACTTTCTGGCAGATAAAATGTTCAATTTAGTAAAAAAGCTTCCAAGAATTTCCCGCACCCCTGTTAACAGATATTGGTAAGTGTTCAGCTTGCAAATGAAATTACATTTTATAACTATTTCAAGTCACAATGTAGTAGCACATGGAAGGGTTGAGCAATATTTACATCACAACCATAACAAGTTAAATAGCTAAAACATTAATTACACTGTATTTCAGCACAGGATGAGTAACAGGAAAGAGAGTAGTGTGCATTCACTGGGGATCAAACCTGCAACCCCAACATTCTGGTCCACCAATCTATCAACTAAACTAAAGGGAAATTCCCTTCAGCACGAAGCTAGAGGGCAACAAGGATCCTCGTTACAATTAAAACCTGCCACATGATGCAATACTATTTGATGCAACTGTGTAGACTGAAGTAATTAGAGCTATGATAGTTAGGCTTCTTGAAACACTAAGGAAGCAACTACTCTGGCAGGCTGAATATCCTATAAATCTTATTTAGATTTCACAGATAGATCAAATATCTACTGGCAACGATCTTCTAATTACAGCATATTAAAGCAGGTATACAGTCACAGTTTAACACATAAATCATATCCCTGGCAGAAAGGTATGAAGTATGTCACTTACACATAAAAAAAGAGTTCTCTTCAACATTACCACATCAGTTCTAACTACAAAGGGATCATTGTTATCCACTAATGCCAGGGGGTTCACTTCAACTCTCTTGGGTATGGATGCTGTAATATTTTATGGCATCAAATATGAAACTTTACAATTCTACAAAGGGCATCACAGACAGACAGAGTTATGCTCAGTAGACAGTGAAATATACAATGGTCCACCTCTCCATTACAACTCATAAAATATCAAGGATATGCGAGTCTATTTCATTCCTTCAAAACATGTCAGTTGGATAATATTTAATGACCTGACAAACTTAACTTTCTCGGTGAAGCGTTTAGTAGTTAATTTGATAGGTAACTCAAACATCTGATACTAACCTGACTATAGTAACAAGTGGATTGTGTTTTATACTTACCTGACTAGTAACAAGTAACAAATACTTACCTGACTGGTAACAAGTATCATATAATTACCTAAATAGTAACAAGTAATACATACTTACCTGACTAGTAACAAGTAACATATAATTACCTGACTAGTAACAAGTGACTTATAATTACCTGACTAGTAACAAGTAACATATAATTACCTGACTAGTAACAAGTAATATATATTTACCTGACTAGTAACAAGTTGCCTTGTATAAACACTATTGTAGTTACTCACCTGATCAGCAAGTGCTGCCCAGTTATAGTGCGCCTCATACATGTGGGGGGTCAGGATATATGCTGCTTGGAAAAATGCCCTTGCCTGAAATGAAAAAATAAGAATATATTTGATGCATTGTAAAAACAAATGACTTAGTATAGAAGATCATCTTTCATCATACAAAAATAGTCTCTGCAGCTGATTCATCTTAATCTTACCCAATTACAAACTTCTTTTTCATCAAACACTTAGCTGTTGACATTTAAAACACTGCCCTTCAGTATTATTTCCTGGAACCCTATATCAGTATAGTCAGAAACGTATGACTACACAAAACTAAAATAACTACCAGGGTAATTACTCTGCAATTTGTTTCCATTTCCTAGACATATGTTACTTCAGCAAAACACACGAACATTGTCGATTAAAGCAATATTTATGCTGTCAATTTGCCAAAGTTGGTAACTACCATGTAGTGGACAAAACAAAGAGGATCAGGGGATGTTACGGGGATAATGGACACCTTGCTATACCACACAACACACCAGTTGACCCATCGCCAAATATGTTTTATGGCACACAGACACATTTAGACATATTGATAAGCAGCTAGCTAAAAGGCTGAGTTTGATGGCCCTAAAATGGCCAGTCTGGATATTAACACCATGTTCTCCAAACACCAATGGTCTGTTGATGTAGACATGTGACTTAAGTCCCTCAGACTCCAGTGGCTTGTTGATGGGCAGACATTTACACTTTTTTCTCTGTATCCCAGATTTTGAGAAAGATATTTCCAGGTGGGAATAGTCTCCCAGACTCAAGTAACCTAACAGTTAAGACATTAAGGTGGGACCTGTCTCCCAGACTCGTGTAACCTAACAGTTAAGACATTAAGGTGGGACTTGTCTCCCAGACTCGTGTAACCTAACAATTAAGACATTAAGGTGGGACCTGTCTCCCAGACTCGTGTAACCTAACAATTAAGACATTAAGGTGGGACTTGTCTCCCAGACTCGTGTAACCTAACAATTAAGACATTAAGGTGGGACCTGTCTCCCAGGCTCGTGTAACCTAACAATTAAGACATTAAGGTGGGACCTGTCTCCCAGACTCGTGTAACCTAACAATTAAGACATTAAGGTGGGACTTGTCTCCCAGACTCGTGTAACCTAACAATTAAGACATTAAGGTGGGACTTGTCTCCCAGACTCGTGTAACCTAACAATTAAGACATTAAGGTGGGACTTGTCTCCCAGACTCGTGTAACCTAACAATTAAGACATTAAGGTGGGACTTGTCTCCCAGACTCGTGTAACCTAACAATTAAGACATTAAGGTGGGACTTGTCTCCCAGACTCGTGTAACCTAACAATTAAGACATTAAGGTGGGACTTGTCTCCCAGACTCGTGTAACCTAACAATTAAGACATTAAGGTGGGACTTGTCTCCCAGACTCGTGTAACCTAACAATTAAGACATTAAGGTGGGACTTGTCTCCCAGACTCGTGTAACCTAACAGTTAAAACATTAAGGTGGGACTTGTCTCCCAGACTCGTGTAACCTAACAGTTAAGACATTAAGGTGGGAATAGTCTCCCAGACTCAAGTAACCTAACAATTAAGACATTAAGGTGGGACTTGTCTTCCAGACTCGTGTAACCTAACAATTAAGACATTAAGGTGGGACTTGTCCCCAAAATCCAGGTTTGATTTGTCCCCCAGACATTGATGGCGACATTTGCAGGTGGGAATTGATCAATATCCAAGATTTTGACAAACACATTGTCTCCCACAATCAAATAACCTGAAGAGCTAAGACACTTGCAGATGTAATTTTAGTCTCCTAGACTCAGATGTAGAACTTTTCAGGTGTAACTCGAGTCCCCTTGACTCAAACAGTGATGTAAAAATTAACAGGTGTGTTTTATCCCTCAGGCTCCAATGACTTGTTGATGCAGATATTTACAGGTGTGACTTGTCCCCCAGACTCTAATGACTTGTTGATGCAGATATTGACAGGCGTGGCTTGTCCTCCAGGCTCCAATGCCTTGTTGATGCAGATATTGACAGGCGTGACTTGTCCCCCAGACTCCAATGACTTGTTGATGCAGATATTTACAGGTGTGACTTTCCCCCCTGACTCCAATGACTTGTTGATGCAGATATTTACAGGCCTGACTTTCCCCCCCGACTCCAATGACCTGTTGATGCAGATATTTACAAGTGTGACTTTTCCCCAAGACTCCAATGACTTGTTGATGCAGATATTTACAGTTGTAACTTGTCCCCAAGACTCCAATGACTTGTTGATGCAGATATTGACAGGTGTGACTTGTCCCCCAGATTCCAATGACTTGTTGATGCAGATATTGACAGGTGTGACTTGTCCCCCAGACTCCAATGACTTGTTGATGCAGATATTTACAGGTGTGACTTGTCCCCAAGACTCCAATGACTTGTTGATGAAGATATTTACAGTTGTGACTTGTCCCCAAGACTCCAATGACTTGTTGATGCAGATAATTATTGGTGTGACTTATAAGTTCCCCAGACGCTAATGGTCTGTTGATGTAGACTTTTACAGGTGTGACTAATCCTATCATACCTCAGCATTATCATAAACAAGAATCATGTTAACACTCTTCTAGCTTAAAGAAGCCTTTTTGTGATAGTTTTTCTTTGAACAGCTATTGAATTCACAAAACATGAAGATTATACATTTTTATTGCTCATAACTTTACAAATTTCCCCCAGAAAACATTGTATATGTATGAAAGGGTGTATTGTGGTCATTGGAATAATGTTTAACACAGAGAAGTAATACATCTCTGTCCAGTTAAAGGGATGGTCAATACTCACCTGTATTCATAGCTGTCAGACAAGGTGTGAAAGAAAACATTACCATATAACTGGTGGGAACACCTGGATACCACAAAAATGCCCCCCTAGCTAAAGATATATGGGAGATCTGCCCATGGCCTGGACCTGGTACCATAAAACATCCACTTCAACATTAACAACACTGACCAGGACAGGGGGTGGGGTCATCTTAGGGCACATCACGACAAACACGCTGCCTTTCTCAAGTCACTAAGGCAGGTAAGGGAAGGTTGCAGGGTTCATCACAAACAGCAAAGTTAACAGATGGATATTAGAATACACAGGTATCCCTATGTTATGTCAATCAAATTTGCTGATAATTCCTTAAAATATTATCCAGGACTAGCCTTCATACAGAAGATTTGACTTGGGGTTTTCTAGATTACACAAACACAATTTTGCATGATGTATCAATTAATTCCATTTTGGATTTTATTTTATCTAAAAAAAAAACTTGACATAATGTGCTGCCTGGTAAATGAACACCATTGACACAAGAAGCTATAATTCCAGACTACAAGGTAATCGGCCTGTTTTACAAGTCTTATAATCTCCTCACCTCCTAAAAACACATTTACACCGGGCCAGAACTATCTAGCATTCACATTCATCATGAATAATACTACACACCAGTCATCAGATGAAATATTTCTTCATATCTAGTCATTTTTTATAAACCAGTCCACCGGAGCTACTTGTGGAGTTAACAGGTGCCCATTTATACTGGGGTGTCCTGCAGAGTTTGCAATAATGAGAAATGTGTCAAACAATTGGACTATCCCATGCTATCATACACAGAAATAACTGCTCAGCAGGACACTCATACATTTTTATGAGTCCAGAGTCAATTTATAGAGTAGTTCTCCAGGTTCAGGGGAATCACTTCATCTTCTTCTTCGTTGTCTTTATTGGTAGAACTTGGGGTATCCAGCACTTGTGGAACAAGATATCAAGGCAATAGCCACCATTACCAGGTTTTTACCAACAGTACTTGTGGAACAAGATATCAAGGCAATAGCCACCATTACCAGGTTTTTACCAACAGTAATTGTGGAACAAGATATCAAGGCAATAGCCACCATTACCAGGTTTTTACCAACAGTACTTGTGGAACAAGATATCAAGGCAATAGCCACCATTACCAGGTTATTACTGACAGGATGACCATTCACTATATGCTCCAATCACTTGTCAATATGTGTTAGCTATAATTTAATAATATGAGGGCAGCATAGCACATCTGGTATTGTATATTAGGCCTACTGACCAAGAGATAGGGTGGTAGGTTTAAAGTGTGGCTGTGTCCTTGAATTAGACACCTATCTCTCATATTCCTAGCCTACCCAGCTGTATTTATGAAAGCAAAATTCAGAAATTTATGAATCACAGTTATTCATTTATATAACATTCAATACAACATACATTGTACTTAATAATTTATTTTCTTGATAAAGTTTTAAACGTATACAACCTGAATAGTCCATGCAAGTAGGGCTCCTCCCAGCCACTGGAATACTCTTGGTTATTTCCCTAACACCACAACATGTTTAGTTACTTCTAAATGTTTAAAGTCAATCATTGAATTCTTTTGTGTAATATAGTCTGTCACTTGCTTCTGTAACAACCTACCAACATGACAAAATCTTTATCTGGTTGAAGGTGATTACTAAGTCACAGACACTGGGTAAAGCTTAGCTTTTAGAGGCAATAAAGCTCAAATTCATTAAACTTTTACTCAATACTGCATATAAACTTGAGCAGATTTTGCAAAAGTCAGCCTTAAGTAGTCCAAAAAATGTTATTGGATTCTGTGACCTTGACCTCTGAACATTACAAACCAAAGAAAACCTGCTGTCCTAGCAAAGTCGGACCAAAATATCTGTTATTCATATAAATATATATAATACAGTATACAAGCAAGTGATTAATATCAACATCAATCTGATGTTGTCTAACAAAGGAATGCAGTATCCTCCATTTCATGGCGATATGATATGCCATATCTTTAACACTAACTGATAAAAAGTTAATCAATAGAAAATGCTACCTTATTACTGTAGTCAAGTTTGATGGGTGCTTGATCACAACGCTTTTACAGTGGACTTTATAACGGTAAAATACCATTCTACCCCAAATTGTTTGCAGTGGAATTTATAGTGGTCAAATACTGTTCTACAAATAACTATTTGCAGTTGACGTTATCAATGCTCAAGCAATTCTCTA